ACATGTTACATTCAGTACATACAGCAAGCAAACCATACATTCCGAATTACAGCCAGAAGCCACAAGGCCATCATGCTCAATGTGTGCGAAGGTTCCAACATATCTCAGTTAACTGCCTTGACTGTCTATTTTAGCCCACGGACCATACATATTTCATAGGATGGATTATATTTTCTTGTTTTCAGTAAGCTACAAGAGGCTCAGACAGGAAATAACAGAAAGAAAAAGGAGTATGAAGGATAAATGCGGCTTTATTCTGCACAGGTCTCTGTGTTGACATGTTGCTGATAAATAAAGAGAAGTAGCAGTAATGTTTGGGTTCCCGTCCTCATGTGCCTGGATATTGCTGCATCCTTTCACCCATGTAGTTATGTCTAGTGCAACTTTTTTTCAGTCACGGCACCCTATAAAAGTATGCAAAATCTTGAGGTGCCCCAGTCTAAAATGTAATGATTTAAAAAGGAACCTAAAAAGTGGGGTTCCCCCATTTCACGATGAAGTCTCCACTTCACATCAGAGTCTCCCATTATATCAGGAACCCGCTCCTTTCACATCAGGATTCCCACCTTTCACACTAAGAGCCCCCCTTCACATCAGAGTCCCCTTCACATCAGAAGCCCCTGTTTCATATCAGACCCCTCCCCCCTTCTTTCTTATATGAGTACCCCCTTCAAATCAGGAGTCCCAGCTGTGGCAGCATTCATTTGAATGATGCTGGCAGCCTGCATGCACCATGGAAAGGTATAGTGCTGGTTAAAAATTTGAAGGCACCCCCGATGAAACCAGAAGGTACCCTGGTTAAGAAAGACTGGTATAATGTGTGTGTTTAGTCCTAAATCTGTGCATGAACAAACTAATGTAAAACATTTGGCAACAACGCCAAATTTCCAAGTATTTTTTCCAATTTCCAAGGTTGATGTTTGTCATAAATAGGTACATTTTGTTAATTTCTAGGTTTGTTAGCCTTTTTTGTGTTCTTGGGTTTGTTTTCGAAATGTTACCAAAGATTAAGGAAATATAATGGCCGGTCTAACTGAAGGATGGTGAGGTGGCTATTATTTCCCATGAGAGCTGAAGCCACGTGTATGGCATTGATCATTAAGCATGATAAAAAAGGCCTGGGCTGTGAAGAGATACTTCTGCATGTAAAGTCTCTTTTTTTACTACTGTTGTATTTTTTTTTTTTTTTTTTCTTATTCCATATGAAGACCCACACAACTCTGCCATCTAAGTCCACATCCCCTGATGATTCACTACACAGTAAATGAAGTCAGACAATAACCTTCCTTTGCCTTTTCTCTTTGAAAAAATTGAATTCCGTAAAAAATGACAATAATGACAATAAATGTGGATGAGTGTGCTTCACATGGAGGTCTTTCTGCTCATCCAACTTTAATATTCACAAAGTAGTCTGTTGCCTGTTTAGGTGTAAGTTATTTTACTGTATGAAAACATTTTACTGTTTATAGATATATCTCTGGAAGAGATCAGCTTAATGCAAATATTCCCATCAATGAGCATAAAAGTATTTAATGTGAACATGTCTAGATTATGCACACTGAAAGTGACACTAAACTCAGGAATTAAATCTTAAAAATGCATTCAAGTACCTTAAATATTAACAAAAATGTATCTTATTTGTGTATCACTCGGCTGTAGATCCTCCAATCATCTCTGAATTGGTGCTGACACTGTCCTTCCTTCTGGAGGGTGGCTACTTTTGTTCCCCATGGTCCCTGTGTGTGTTGTAAAGTAGCCACTGCTTCAAGCTCGCTCCCATGATGGAATACAATCCCATGTTTACTTTACTAATTTGTATTGAGATTGCAGTCCATCACGGGAGTGAACTTGGAGTGGTGGCTACTTTACAACACACACAGGGACCATGGGGAACAAAAGTAGCCACCCTCCAGAAGGAAGGACAGTGTCGGCACCAATTCAGAGATGATTTGAGGACCTACAGACCAGTGATACACAAATAAGATACATTTTTGTTGCTAGTAAAGGTACTTGAATGCAATTTTAAGATTTAACTCCTGAGTTTAGTGTCCCTTGAATATAAACAAAATATGCCTGCCTAAACTTGCACATTAGACTAGCCCTTTTATTGAATGTAAAAGTACATTGCTACTAAATAAGGTGTTCCATCTGTGTACAGTTCTGTATATCATACATGCAGCCTTTAGTAGCATAAAAACAAAAAGCACTTCAGTTAGAATTCAAATTTAAGCCAACTTTATTAAATGTATGGAAAATACCTCTTCTGAAAGTTTGTCCTTCACATTGTATAATGCATGAGTGAAGAAAACATGTATAAGATGCACATCAATGGATGAAGCATGTTACTACTAGAGATAAGGCTGGTCATGGTTCAAAACCAGTTGAGTTCAACCAAGCCCACTCTGACCGCCAACCACGGCAGTTGCGGTGGGGCATTTACCTTCAGGCGGCGTTCTTGGTAGTCGGTGGCGTGGAGGCGTCTACCCTGACTGCTCCATGTCGGCATACGAGTGTGTACAGGCTCCGCCCCCCCATCTGATAGGACTAATAGCTCATAAATTTGAGAGTTTCCTTTTGTAGGATTTATATGAAATAAACTAATATATTTTTATATATTGTGGTTGGAGTTGTCATTTTCTGGTGCTTTCAAAACCCCACTTCTTCTTTCTTTAAAATAATTTTTTTTGCATACTATATACCAGGGGTGTGGCACCTAAATATCCAGATACAGGTCAAAATATTTTCTACTTAGGGGCATTTACCGTCTCTTTGTGATGTATAGCTGCGGGGTGGGGAATGCGCCTTCCCGCAACTGACTGAGTTAGGAGAAGGGGGTGGCAGATTTTAGAGCAGGCTTGTGCAAACTCAGGTGAACAGGGTCCACGCCAAGCCCAGCCTCATATCTAGTTACGAGTGTGAAAGGACCCTTACTGATAAGAGAAGATACTAAAACATGCCTCTACATACCCACCAGTTCTATATCATTACAGCGATAACAAATCAATTAAACTAGTAAAAAAACAAACCGAAAATCTTAAACAATGTAAAAAAACAAAGGTGTGCTGGACTTGCAGCTCAGTCTTAGAAAAACATAAAACATCTTTAGTAAATTCTGTATGTTAAATCCGAACTCTCAGAAATGTTTTACATTTTAAAGGAGTTCTATTCCCTTACATAAAAAATTCAACCTTTTTAAAGTGTTGATTTTAAAGGCAGCAAATGGAATGCAAACCTCCACGTTCAACATATTTTATGTATTATAGTCATTTAATCTAAACCTCCTCTGGTTCTGCTGTTGTACTTTTAACCTCCCGCTGTCTTCTCTTACATTTGTGTTTACTATTGATTCTTTCCCACAGCGCAGGCCTTGTGCTGCATTGTACCATTGAGCTATTTGAATGGACAGGGCTACCTACTGTATGCCTATATACATTGTACAGCATGCATATGTATAGCCTTTTCATTACAGAGTCAACAGGTTTATGACAATGAAAATTATTCTCCCGCTAATAATGAATTATTCATCGCTAGTTGGGATCAATTGGGTTGGCAGTTTTACAGCTTCACGTAAGTGGTTTATTTCTTTCGCCGGTAAATTATGTAGACATTTTTACGCCAACGTTTTGTCAAGATGAATATTTTCGGTGCCAGCCTTTAGTGGTAATCACTTTTTCGCTAATTGCAAGCGCCAGGTGGAACGGTTTATCATTCCTGCTGTAATGCCTATCAGAGATTAAATATTATGATATTCCCAGCGGGCGTACAGTAGGGAAAAGTGGAATTTAAATGAAGCTCTCGGTGGCTTGCTTGGAATTCCATCTATGTGAAGCCTGGGAATTTGTTTTAACTTTTTAACTGTCTCGAGGCTTTAGAAATCGACCACATGTCCCACTCTTCTGAGCTTTTATTGTACTGTGTGGAAAAATGAAAGCAATGGTTCAAAGTATCGCCACAACAGATGAAAGGATTTGCTTATGAATACAACCGTCGTTTTGCACCTGTGTGGTTTTAGCATTCTTTGTGAAGTAGAATAATCACCAGGCTAAGGGACCGCTGTCCAAGGGCTGAAAAAAATACTGCTTTAACAGTTGTGTTCATGGAGGCAGGTTTAGGAGAAGTACAGGAAATTATAGTGTTTGTATTGTTCACAGGGCTTCCATTAGGGATTTGGGGATCATTTGAAACAGATGGCGGGGGGCGGCAGCATTGGTTTTATTTTATTTATTTTCATTTTTATTTGTTTTATTATTTTTTACCTTTTTAACCACCTTTTTTTTTTTTTTACTTTTTTCACCTATCTTTTACTATCACAAAGGGGCTAATAAACCCCTATGTGACAGCATTTAGAGGTGACAGGTTCTCTTTATGGAGACATCAGACCAGTTTATGGGCAAGTGCTGTATGAGTACAAGAATACCTTACATCAATTTTGTATGTTACGGTCATCTAGCCTCATATTATAATTCTGGAATAGTTCATTTGGAGATCAGTTTGTTTTTTCCTTTCTGCAATGTGCACATATCAATTATGTTTTTAAACACTTTTAACCTTTGTGTAATAAAGAATCCTTGTTTTATCATGATGTAATTGTTTGGTTTTGTCACTTGGTACCTTAAAAGCCCCACTCTTTCTTTTCCATTTGATTCAATATATTAGGGGTGTGGTACCTTATATTCAGGATCTGGTCATGATAGTTTGATCTTTTTTTCAGATTATTGACAAATTAAACACAAATGAGGACTGATCTCTGGAGCAACACAGACAGTTTGTTTTCATCATAAGACTTGGTGAGAACAAACTGGACACAAGTATTTACTGGTTGCCATGGTACACAAAAAGCACTTTACTGAAATAATGTTTTATTGAATTATTTGATGTCAGATTGGCTAATTGTCATGAGGTATCCTCACAGGTATTACTGGTTCCTTTATTTCTATAGGAATTAATAATATTTAAAGACATACATTTTGCATTTAAATCTATTTATGTTTCTTAAACAGGAAAGTGATGAGACTGAAGTGGATAAAAACAAATGCTGCACCCTCTGCAACATGTTTTTCACATCTGCAATTGTTGCTGAATCCCATTACCAAGGAAAGACTCACGCCAAAAGAGTGAAGCTAGTCCTTGGGGAATCTCCAGACATTCCAGCTCGAGCAGGTGAGAGACTCTTATTTATACCAGCACTGATGTAACTGTATACCGCTGCTCAGTATTTTGGAGCTTTGAAAATAAGTACATTTAGGTGTTGGAGAAATTAACTCCTAATTCTTACTTGTTTAGGTAGGGTTGGTTCTGAGCAGTAGCAGCACTTTATCAGTGTGTTGCAGATCAGTGTACAGCCAAGGAGTAGTTAAATCTCGCAGTAGCAAAGAATGAACTGTCAATGTGACCTTAGCCTCAGTTCCATATTAGGTATAATATGGTGAATGAAGAAAATTAATGTGACCCATCATTTGCCATCAGTACCATGGACAGCTCATAAGACAATGCCTCTTAACATCCATTTAAGGGAAAACTGTACTGGAAGAAACTTGTAGGGTACCATTTGCTGGTCTTGTATTGCAAATTCTAGTTGCTTGGATGTCTTCAGTTTCAGTACTTTCAGTAAGGATACGCCAGCACTCCCAACACACTGTAAAAGGTTAACTCTATTCCAAAATCAAGTAAAAGCAGCATTTTTGTGCTTGTATCTGAATCTGGAAGAAAGTTGATCTTTTATGGTACATTGGGAGTGCTGGCCTATTTGACATATTTATGAGGTCTTAGAGAGAAAGTGGTTCCTTGAGCAGATCAAACCCACCACCTTTCAGACCTAAGATCAGAGTGGCCAGAGGCAATGCAGAGCTAAGGGAAGTCCAGAGTGGAGTGGACGATTTGTTGGCAGCACGGCTTCAGGTTTATCCGACCATTACAGCAACAGACCTCTGTGGGTGTTCACGGAGGGGAAGCTTATTTGTGGAGCTGTGTTTGTTGATGCCTTTTGGATGGTTTTAAAAGGGTGAGTCATTTTTTAATAAATGATCATTATATTTGAATGGTTTTACGCTAAGGGCTATGTTTATTCTGATCAATAAAATGGCTGTGGTGGGACACTGATCTCTGCATTCTGGAGAACCAAGTGAAGGAGTTAAAGGTTATAACTAGATCATAGGACCTGGGGATTCTCTAAACAAATTCTGGCCTGGAAGAGGGTCTGGGCTAAAGGTGAGCAACTGACTGAGAGGAGTGAACACTGTGGTGGAAGATAACTCTTTTTTTTTGGAAGTTTCTACCACATGTGGAAGGATTAAGAATGTAGGATATTTGGGACGTTCTATTGCACTGTTTAACATTAATTTATATAGAGTGTGTCATATACTTTGTGGACTTCAAATATTTACATTTTTTCACGGATTGGAGCACATTTGCACATTTTTTTTGTTTATATTTGCAAGTTTTGGGAAGATTGGGATAATTATTGCACAGGAGAAAAAATTTATATGTACATATTGAACGTGTGCTATACACTTTTGTGGAATCTGGTGAACCATTGAATATCTATGGTTGCATATTGATTGTAGCACAGTGGTGGTACATAGTTGAGCCCGTTGATGCATTGGTTCTATTTTAAAAGCTCGGCACATCAGTATTGTTTTATTTTTAAAGAGGTTTACCTAGGGGTGATCCTTCTCATAGTGCCTCAAATGTAACCAACCAGGTTTACTTTTGTTCTTTTATATTTGTTAGTTAAAGGAATACACAGGTGAATGCTGTTGCCTAATATGTCCTTAGAACATTCCCACTTCAGTGTTCGGAAGACTTTGCTCCCGATTAGTATTATACAGTCAGGATATGTTTTGCCTCAAAAGGGCAACAGCCACCTATATACAGCATACCATATACACAACAACATATTTACTGTATTCAGTTTAACTGTTTAAATGTATACAAACTACAAGTATAGAAAATGATGAACAGCATTCATTTCATGGAGACTTTTCTTGGAGACAGCCAATAAGCTTTGTCAATCACAAATTAAAAATATTCACAATTGATGTAATGTAATATGGTAATGGCAGCACCATGTGACTGAGCAGACATAGTATGGTATCTCTTTTTCCATTTCTGTCTGTTCCATTATGTAAATTAACAAAGCCCTGTTGTACCCTTTAGGCAGAAGAAGCTGTACAGATTGTCTGCTTCCTTAAATGTAATAGGGCTTTTAGCTCAGGAAAGACAAGGCTGCAAATGAATCGTACCAGCCTAAGGCAGTCCTGATCTTTCAGAACAAAGACACTCTAGCTCGCCAAGTAGGGCACTTGGCCTCGATTCCGAGAATACCTTTAAATAATCAATTCTGATAAGCAGCAGGTGTGTTCTTTTAATAACATCTGTGTGGCTGTGGACGGTTCTGTTGTCTACCAGGCTTCAGTTATATGTGAAATATCTTTTATGGGTGGAATGACCCAACTAAAAAAAAATCTTATGACTGATACAGTCCTTACTACTTCAAAATACATTGATCCTAACCCTAAGTATTTGGGTTCAAACTTGAACCCTTGATCTGCCAACTCTAAGACACTGACTTGTAAAGTATTACAACCATTGGAACAGCATTGACAGGCATTTGGCATTTTCAGAACGAGAGGTCAGTAAGGACAGCTTCCATATTTTTGGATGTACAGTACCGTGCCTTGTGATGAGCTTCAATGCATATCCATCAGCAAGGAGGGCATCGTACTAATGTGTAAAACTGAAGGGCAATGGTGTGCATCGCAGCACCGCATCACACCAAGGCATTTTACTGCAGTGTTGTGAACAGGGCCTTTTTGTTAAAATGTAGGTGCATAGCTACAGATTATGCTTGGTAAGGTTTGTAGCTTTGTTTAACTTTTTGGGTAGACAACTGTTTAAAAAGTAAGAGGAACACATTTAGATGTGAATACTGCCAAGTCGGCCTTGCCATACAAATGGCTATTCATCTATTCCTGGTCCTGTACCAGGATTTAGGTTAGATCATTGTCTACTTTGAAAGGGAAACCCTAAACTACATGTATCAGGGAGAATGGTCAGTGTCCCTTCATTAACTACTACTGATTTTCTGGATAAATCAACTAGAATTTGTATTTGTTTCTGTAGGTCAGAGCAGAATGATGCATTGAAAGAGAGGGGAACAGTGAAGCAAAGTCACTTGCTCTGTGCTGCTAATCTGGAGGCACAGCTGTCATATGTAATGAGCAAATGCCCCAGCTCCATGTCCAATTATATTTGCAAACTCTACATAGAAACCAGCATGTATCCGGGGCTTAAAGTTGCGGGCATCTCTTGATCAGCAGAAGAAGAAAACATAATCGGCGTCATGCGATGGGATGGGGCCAAGTTCCTTACAAACCATTAAGTATTATAGGCAATGTTTATACTAATATCACTTCACAAGGCTAAGGGAACAATGTAGATTATACTGTTAGCAAGTCATTTATTTCTTGAAGGATTTGGTTTACAGCAAATCTGTCAGAAAGCTTAATGCAGCATCTGTTACCTTCATGAGAACACAGTGCTTAGTGCACAGGAAATCTAACCTTTGTTGTCCTCTTTCCACCTTCACTAGTTTGAAGAATGGAAATGTCTCATTATGCTAAGTAGTTATCGTCTGGAAGCTGTAGCTGCCTGCGTTATATATGCTGCATGCTAGTTCCAAGGCTACCATCTCCTTTGCTGTGATGCTGAAATAATGCTTCACTGCCATGTTATTAGCATGCAGCACATGAGTCAGACGTATTGTATTCAAACTTCATAGTCTTAAATCTGAACTCTAGGCTGAGGTAAAAATAATTATTGCATTGCTATAATCAATTAATATTTAATTAAATGTATTCTTTACATGCCACGTAGGTACCTGAATACTGTATAGCCTCTCACTGGGCTGTTGCAGTCCCGGTCAAACAGGACTGGAGTGTTAGAGTGATAGTAAAAACTTTGTAAGCCATTTCAAATGCTGGTTAGGTCACTTACAATGTTTCCTTCGCCTTGATATTTAAACATTTTAGCTTCCTGCAGAATCAGCTGATCCCCTGAGCACTGGCCCTGATATCCGGTTTTAGTGTGGCTCCTTTTCCTTTCAGAGTTCTGTGGAGCCGCCCTTGTGTGTACTAGTAAGCTGTGTGCGACTCCACAAACAGGCACAGTGAGGCAAGGCACTCCCTTGCTCCCCCCTCTTTTACCCTCCTTCCTTACTGCTCCCCTCTCCTACCTAGTAGATGGACAGCTGCAGGAGTCTGCTCTGTCCCTTGTGAAGTTCAGGGAAACCGAGTTGATAGAGTTGGAGCCAGCTGTTCAGAAACATAATACTGTAAGTGCTTGGGCAAAACAATTTAAAGAAACACTTTGCTGGGCAATGCATATTTTTTTTCCCAAGATCTGGATTAGTTAACAAGAAAGTGATTGAGAATGTAGAACTACTTTAAAGTAAGAATCAGAACAAGTATCAGTTCATGTTCTGACGAGAAGCATGCTGATATGAGCAGAAAGCAGAGGGGCAGACAGATGAGCTCATCACTGTGCAGCTTCACCTTTCACTGCCCAGTCACATAATGGAGAATGACCCCAGGATGACCTGGGCTCAGAGAAAGTGGTCTGAATGGTGCTGGCCATCAGACTAAGGACATCTAGCAGCAGAAATAAAGAACTGCTGGGGAAGTCTCTGGATCAAAGAGGAATGATGAAGCAAAAGCTGGTTTGTAATCTTATCTTTTAATCAGCTAATCATTTGCATTTTGTCATTTTTCCTGGAGTTCTGCTTTGAAAGAACTTCAGCATGTTTTCATAATTCCCTAAATATTACGTCCTTCTCACATCCATACACGATGTGCTATTTCTAACAACATTTCAAAGTAATAACAGTGACACATTTCTGGTCAGCCAGGATGCCTCATCATGCACAATTCTTTCTTAAAGGATCATGAGTTTTCATGTATACACATTCGTTTTATACTAATAATATTAAAACACAACATCACTTTTTATATATATATATATAT